GCAGTAAGCCTTCTGAAAGGGACATAAGAGCATCTTCATGGCACTCTGAGATCTTGTGTCCTTTACAGGCAGGACAGAGAAAGAATTGGGCAGACAGCTGCTAACTACGGCCTCTGCGTACTGCTGCTCTACAAACAAGTAGCAAAAGACAGCCCCCAGGGTGATCCCTGCTGCCGCAGACACAGGGGATGTGGACCGTTCACAGACTTTGCTGGAGAGCAGACACCCAGCACATAGAAAGTGAAGCACAGAGGCCGGTGTCAATGCATTAACTAAACCCACGCTCAGTGTCTGAGGCAGGAGCTGCCTGCGGATATCGTCATCACAATTACACCCAACACAGGTGGATTCAATGACACGCTGACCGTCACCCGCCAGCCAAATTCCATCTCCTGTCCCATGCAGTTGGTGGCTGTTGGATCCAATGAGACTGAGTCAGCAGCTGCTTTGTGAGGGCGGAATCAGACCTCATAGGGAACAGCCTGAACCCCGAATATCACCCCACTCACCCTACCAGAATATACAGGGGACTCTGTGGCAAGGAGGAGAGCTAGGAAGCCTGTGAGGAAAGTCCCACTCAGTTCACATTTCCCAGCCGAGCCCCACTGGATCTCCCTGCTCTTCCATGCAGTTAAAGGGGAATGGAACCGTGAGTGTCCTCCAGGCTAACAACATTCCTGCAGACCTGCTGCCCGGACAAAGCACTCAGCCTGCCCCTCTCTAAGCTTCCCTGCCTTCTGATAACCTGTGGGGTCCCCCCACAGCCATCGCCGTGCTGTACTTCTTCTGGGCTCTTGTGTGAGGCAGGGGCCATTCAGGAGGGTTATTTCTGGACTGCCAAACCCTGCACTCACCCAGCTGTGTAGCAGAGAGGGGCTGACGTGGCAGTGGGCGGTGTCCGGAGCGACTCTGTGCTGGGCCAGAGGAGAGCTGGGCGGGGAGATTTATAGCCATCGCTGTGCAATCCCAGCGGGGTTTGGGCCTCCCCTGAGCAGGTACAGCTCAGCAGAGAGTGTGAGACAGACAAACAGGCCCTGCTTTTCGGGCCTATCGAGCCCTGAGGGAGCTGGGGATTGCAACACGCCAGGGACCAGCAGAGACAAGAGAGAAAATGCTCCTTGGTATCAAACCAAAAAGCCAGGCTGGGTTTGCTGAAGGGGAGAAAATGTAGCAGCCAGTCGAAGTGGGGCACCTTCCTGGAGCCATTTATGGTTCTGGATGCAAGAAAATCTTTCACGGCTGTTTGGGGGCTGAAACCACTTCTGAGAGTTGCTGCCAATGTGTTTGCCACTGTGACCCCATGTCAGGGCTGTGCCCCGCTCTGGCACTCTGAGGGCAGAAGGCGAGCTCCCGCAAGGGAGCTTAAAATAAAACAAAAACTTTGCCTCTCCTGGCACTGGTTACCAAAAATGTCCCCCCAGAGTCACAGATTTTGGGGAATCGCTGCCACCATCAAGTGATTTTTTTATCCCTAAGAAGGACGAACACTTAAACCTTCCCCCAGAGGTCCCCCAAGCTCTTTTGCCCCCAAAAAAGCTTGAAAAAAGGAAAAGAGAAAACAAGCTGCCGTCTCTGGGACCTGACCCCTCAGTCAAAGGCAAGTGATTTTTATTACAAAACAAAAGGTAAACGTGAGAAAGCAGACGTGGTTGCGAGATGTTATAGAGCATCTAAGGAAAACGAATTAGAACAAAGAGAAAAGTCTCAGGACACAATGCAAGATGGCAAATGGGGAGGCAGAGATCGACACAGAGCAGTTCAAACCAAACCACAGAATCAAGAAAAATACCCTGATCATGACTAGGTCCACTTTTCATTTACTTCCAATCTTTCCTTGTTCCCACTCCCATGCCCTGAATTCCTTGGAGGCATGGTAGTCCTGCCTGGGTTTAAATCATTCTGGCTACGTCTAGACTGGCATGATTTTCCAGAAATGCTTTTCACGGAAAAGTTTTTCGTTAAAAGCATTTTCGGAACAGAGCGTCTAGATTGGCACGGACGCTTTTCCGCAAAAGCACTTTTTGCGGAAAAGTGTCCGTGCCAATCTAGACGCACTTTTGCGCAAAAAAGACCAGATCGCCATTTTCGTGATCGGGGCTTTTTTGTGGAAAACAAATCTGGGCTGTCTACACTGGCCCTTTTGCGCCAAAAGACTTTTGCCCGAACGGGAGCAGCATAGTATTTCCGCAAGAAGCACTGATTTCTTACAGTAGGAAGTCAGTGCTTTTGCGGAAATTCAAGCGGGCAGTGTAGACAGCTGGCAAGTTTTTCCGGAAAAACGGCTGATTTTCCATAAAAACTGGCCAGTCTAGACACAACCTCTATGTCTCGCAACTCCTGGTTTTTCTCTCTCATACAAAGAAAGTAGGCAAGGAATCTCTATCCAGTTCAAATTTCAACCCTCTGTCTCGATTGGTTCTCCCGCCCCCATGGCCAACAATTTTGCTGAGTTTAACCCCTTAGTCACCAGGAGCTGGTCAGTGCTCCTCCTGTCCATTACACCCCATGATGCACCTCACTGACTCTGGGTCCTGCCAACTCCAGCTGCAGGTTTGGCCTGGGCCTGTACAGCAGCCCGAGTCCTGCATGACCCTGAGGAGTTCTCAGTCTGTGACTGCCTGGCCATGCCAGAGCCTGGGACCAGTGCGGGGCTTCAGGTGTCTCCCATAAATGCTCCAGGTTTCTCTGAGCTGGCTCCATCCTGCTCACTGCTCCCCACCCACCAGCTTGGGAGTGAGGGAATATGGGGAGCATGTAGCCCCTGTTGGAAGATAATAGGACTTGCTGCAAACTCAGGGGAAGTTTGGTTCTGACACCCCATGTCGGTTTTAAGCCTCCGCTGCAGGCAGTACAGCTTTACTGGTAAAGCCTCCTCGTGTCTGCACTACGGATTTCACCAGGTAGAAATGTTGCAAACAATCCCTTTACTCAGCACGGCTGTCCTGGCTAAAGTTTCTCGTGTAGCCCTGACATGAAACAGCTTTATCAGAGAAGCTCCTTATAGAACTGTCTGCAGAGCTACCCAAAAGCTGGGACATCCTGGTCAGGCCAGGGCATGGTGCTGAAGTGGCATTTCTCCAATAGCTGGCTTAGGAAGGGGAGCTGTCATTGGATGGTAGCTGATGACATAACTAGTATTTCTCCTGTGCTGGTTGGAAATGGCTGATGTTCTGGTCATGCTAGATTATGATACAAACCCTTTGCAAGGTGTCAACCTACTTCCTGAAGTGTGGCCACCAGAACTGGGGACAGTATTCCACCCATGGCTCACAGTAGTGGCCCTACTGAGAGGTTGTACCATGTCCCTACTTCTACCTGATGTTGCCCTTCTTATGCATCTGAGGATTGTTTGTTTTTTCTGTAGCATCGGCTAGGGAACTCACATTTCTTTGGGTAGCTACTGTGCCTCCTCCGTCCTGCTCACAGTCACCACTTGGCAGGACACCTTCTTTCATCTTACTAATGTAACCCACAGTCCTTGTTCATGGATTAGGACTTCACATTCTGTGGAGCCAACGCTACCGTTCCCACAGAAATGGATGAAGGGAAATTCCATGTCCTGGGACGGGGTGGCCAACATGTTATAGACGAAACAGTGGTGGATACAGCGCAAAGAGCCGAGGGAAAAAAGTTGTTGAACAACAGCAACAACAACAAAAGGGCCTCTTAAAAGGGCAGTAATAGAAATGTAGCCGTCTTAGTCTGGTGTAGCTGAAACAAAAAACAGGACTATGTAGCACTTTAAAGACTAACAAGATGGTTTATTAGGTGATGAGCTTTCGAGGGCCAGACCCACTTCCTCAGATCAAATAGTGGAAGAAAATAGTCACAACCATATATACCAAAGGATACAAATTAAAAAAATGAACACATATGAAAAGGACAAATCACATTTCAGTACAGAAGGAGGATGGGGGGGAGGGAAAGTGAATGTCTGTGGGCTAATGATATTAGAGGTGATAATTAGGGACGCTATCTTTGTAATGGGTAAGATAACTAGATCCTTTGTTAAGACTCAGACACAAAGTGTCAAATTTTAGCATGAATGACAGTTCAGAGGATTCCCTTTCAAGTGCAGATTTAAAAGGTCTTTGTAGTAGGATGCAGATAGTTAAGTCACTGAGACAGTGTCCTTTCTGGTTGAAATGGCAAGAAACTGTTTTTTCTTTGTGATCCTGTCTGATATCTGTTTTGTGGGCATTGATCCTTTGGCGAAGTGTCTGAGACATTTGTCCAATGTACATAGCAGACGGACACTTTCGGCATATGATAGCATAAATTAGCTGGAGGTGAATGAGAAAGCGTGTGGTAGGGAGTGGGTCTCTAGAGGTGTATTGCCCAGCATCTCACAGGCTGAGGCCCTGATCAGGTTGCAGTGCGGAAGATCTAGGTTGGATATTAGGAAAAACGATTTCCCTAGGTGGCTGGTGAAGCACTGAGATGGGTTCCCTAGGGAGGGGGTGGAATCTCCATCCCTAGAAGTTAAGTCCTCGCTTGACAAAGCCCTGGCTGGGATGATTGAGTTGGAGTTGGCCCTCATTTGGGAAGCGGGCTGGACTGGATGGCTCCTGAAGTCTCCTCCAGCCCTAGGTTTCTCTGATTCTATAACGTGCTGCCCTCACTGTGAGCTAGGAAATGGGACAAATCTCCTTGTACCCCACATGCTGCAGGGCCAGGCCTTTGTGATACCCTGTTACTATAGCAACAGGCAGGCCTACACCCCCGCTGGTGTGAACAGCCAGAGCCCCATTGGCCTCAGCGCCAGGCCACCCAGCGATTCTGTGATACTGTTGGCCGGGTGGAAATGCTGAGTGACAACAATGAAAAGGGGAAGCCAAGTTTTGCTGCAAATCCAGCAAGCATGTTTATTAGTACTGCTGCCCAGCCAGGCTGAGGTGGGTTTCCACAGTAGGGAGTGACTGACCCATGTGCATCCCTGGACTAGCTGATGTAGCCTGCACAGACCTTGCTCCATTACTGCTGACTCCTCATGTGGGATTTTAGGCTGGCTTGAGGCCCAGGATGTAGAGCAATCTCTGGCGGATCCCCGGGGTTCTCACCCCGTAGATGATGGGGTTCAACATGGGAGGCAAGAGCAGGTAAACGTTGGCGATGAGGATGTGGACATGGGGAGCCACGTGGCCAAAGCGGTGGGAGAAGAAGGAGAAGAAGGCGGGGGTGTAGAACGCTATCATGACACACACGTGGGAGCTGCAGGTGCTGAGGGACTTGCGCCGGGCCTCCTTTGACTGCAAGCTGAAGACGGCCCGGAGGATCAGGATGTAGGACAGGATGATGAGGATAAAATCTAACCCTGCTGTTAGAAATGCTACAACCAGACCGTAGGCTCTCAGGCCTGTGGTATCCACACAGGCCAATTTCACAAGTGCCATGAACTCACAATAGGTGTGAGAAACGATGTTGGTTGTGCAATACGGGAGCTGCTTCAGTAGAAATGGGTGTGGGCACAGTAACATGGCGCCCCTCACCACAACGACAAGCCCTATCTTGGCTATGGCTGAACGGGTCAGGATGTCCGAGTGTCGCAGCGGGTTACAGATGGCGACGTAGCGATCAAAGGCCATGGCCAGCATGAACCCGGACTCCATGGTGGTGAGTGAATGAATCAAAAACACCTGGATGAGGCAAGCATCGATATGAATGGCCTGGTCCCTGAACCAAAAAATGCAGAGGGTTTTGGGCACGGTGGTGGTGCAGATGAGCAGGTCGGCGAATGCCAGCATGGCGAGGAAAAGGTACATGGGCTCGTGGAGGCTCGGCTCGGATTTGATCACAGCCAGGAGGAGGCAGTTCCCCACGACAGACAGGATGTAGACGGTGCAGAAGGGGATGGAGATCCAGACGTGGGCCGCCTCCAGCCCCGGGATGCCGAGGAGGATGAAGGTGGAGGGGTGGGGTGTGGTCCAGTTGGAAGCTGCCATGCTGAGGCTAGTCGGGTGTGTTTAATTTGTTGTGTGTTCAGCTCAGTTCATATCTGCTTCCTGCCCCTGAAACTAACCATTAAACAATAATTAACCATCTGTGGGAACAGGAGAAGTTCTATTCTATTGTGTGCTAATTACATAACCTGGACTTGAGTCCTCCAGTACAGACAATTACTCTCCTATTATAGAATTTTTGGCAGTGAGTGAGGGCTCTGTAGTGGGTTTTTTTTTAAAAACGTGTGTCCATTCCAGGCAGGGCAAGAGAGAATGGGGCAGAGAGCTGCTAATTCCGGCCCCTGAGTCCTGCTGTTCTACAAACAACAAACAACAGAGAACCCCAGAGCAATCCCAGCAGCCACACACACAGGGGATGTGGACCACTCACGCCGCTAGCAGGAGAGCAGAGTCCCAGCTGACGGAAAGTGAAGCACAGAGGCCGGTGTCAACGCCTTGAACTAATCCCACATTCAGGCTGTGTCTAGACTACATGCCTCTGTCGGCAGAGGCATGTAGATTAGACACATAGGCAAAGGTAAATGAAGCCGCGATTTAAATGATCGCGGCTTCATTTACATTTACATGGCTGCCGCGCTGAGCCGACAAACAGCTGATCAGCTGTTTGTCAGCTGAGCGCGGCAGCCATGTAAATGTAAATGAAGCTGCGATCATTTAAATCGCGGCTTCATTTACCTTTTCCAAACAAACAAATCTACATGCCTCTGCCGACAGAGGCATGTAGTTTAGACGAACCCTCAGTGTCTGAGGCAGGATCTCAGATTCTGTGCACATCATCATCACAATTACACCCTACACGGGTGGATCCAATGCTACACTGACAATAACCTGCCAGTCAAATTCTTCCTCCAGCCCGGTGCAATTGGTGGCTGTTGGATCCGATGCGACCGAGGCAGCAGCTACTTTTTGAGGGGAGAATCAGACCTCACAGGGAAGAGTCTGGACACTGCATATCAGACCATCCACCCTCCCAGAATGTACAGGGGACTCCGCCACAAGGAGGAGAGCTAGAGGCCTGCTGAGGAGAGGAAAATTCACTCCTGAGTTCCTATTTCCCTGCCAAGCCCGGCTGGACAGCCCTGCCCTTCTGTGCAGTTAAATGGGAATGGAACCATGAATGTCCCTTAGGCTAAACACCTTTCCTGCAGACCCGACGTCCGGCCATTCACAGGTGTGGATGCAAGAAAATGTTACATGCCTGTTTGGTTGCAACCTGCCAGCCTGCACCTCTCTGAGCTTCCCTCGCTTGTGACAACCATCAGGGTCCCCCCTCACCCATCTCAGCTCTCTGCTTCTTGTGGGCCATTAACGAGGGTTATTTAACAGATCCATAGCGCTGCACTCACCCAGCTCCTGTGCAGCAGAGACGGGCTGATGTGCCAGTGGGCGGTGTCCGGAGCGACTCTGTGCTGGGCCAGAGGAGAGCTGGGCGGGGAGGTTTATAGACATCACTGTGCAATCCCAGCAGGGTTTGGGCCTCCCCTGAGCAGCTGCAGCTCAGCAAAGAGGGTGAGAGAGACAAACAGGCCCCTGCTTTTCCCAGGGCCTGAGCGTACGGCGCCCTGAGGGAGCTGGGGTTTGCAACACGCCAGGGACCAGCAGAGACAAGAGAGAAAATGCTCCTTGTTATCAAACCAATTAAAAGCCAGGCTGGGTTTGTCGAAGGGGATGAAATGCAGCAGCCCATTGAAATGCTGTACCTTCCTGGTGCCATTCACAGGTCTGGATGCAAGAAAATCTTACACGGCTGTTTGGTGGCCGAAACCGGAACATCTGATGGTTGCTGGAAATGTGACCGGCATTTTGACCCACAGGCCGGGTGACGAGGAGTTCTCAGTCTGTGGCTGCCAGGCCATGTCACAGGCTGGGCCTAGGAGGTACCCAGTGGACAGGGCAGGGCTTGTGCTACGCCTCCGGTGTCTCCTTAAATCCACCAGGGTTCTCTGAGTTTGGGCTGACCAATTCCTTCTGCCGCCTCCAGCCTGAAACTGGGAGGATGAGGGGGAGCATGTAGCCCCTGTTGGAAGGTAAAGGGCCCTGCTTCCCACTCAGAGTATGTTCCTTTTACACAATCGCAGTGTGGCTCCTATGTAAGTTGAAAGCCTCCATCGCAGGCAGGAGAACTGTGCTGCTAAACTGTTCTCGTGTCTGCACTAGGGCTTTCTGCATCTAGAAATGTTACAGACACTCCCCCGTTACTCAGAAGGGCTGCACCAGCTAAAGTTTCTCATGTAGCCCCTGCCCAAAACACCTTAAACGGAGAAGCACGTTATAGAACTGTCTGCAGCGCGGCCTGAAAGCTGTGACATCCTGGGTCTCTCTGCGTCATGGTCAGGCCAGGGCCTGGTGCCGAGGTGGCATTTCTACATTAGCTCAGGGGAGCTCAGTCACTGCAGGGCAGCTGATGACATCACTGGTATTTCTTCAGAGCTGGTTGGAAATGGCTCATTTTCTGGATGTGCTAGGCTATGCTATGAACCCTCTACAAGGTGTCAACCTGCCTCCAGCTGTGGGGCCAATAGAACTGGGCACGGTATTTCATCAAGAGTTCACAGTTATAGCTCAATCCAGAGATTGTAGCACGTCCCTACCTCGACTTCAGGTTCCCCTTCTTGTGCGTCTGAGGATTGTCTGGTTTTGCCATAGCATCAGACTGTGAGCTCACTTTCATTTGGGTAGCTACGGGGCCTCCTCCGTCCTGCTCAGAGTCACCCCTTGCCAGGACGTCTTCTCCCATCTCACTAATGTAACACACAGTCTTTGCTCCTAGATTGGAACTTCACATTTGTGTGAAAACACATTTTCCAAGGGACCCACACTACTGTTTCCACAGAACTGGATATAGGGAAATCCTGTGACCTCTGATATGCATGAGGTCACACAGGTTATCATTACAATCCCTTCTGGCATTTTAGTTAATGAAATAGTGACCCAGGTCATTGACTCGATTGTCCCCATCATTGTTTACCAATCCACCGTTTTTTGTTTGTGTTTTCTGAAAATTTTACCAATAAACATTGGACAAAAGACATTGAACACTGGATCACTTCACTAGACAGACTCCAATTGGCTGATGCTTTCCAATTTACAATTCCTCCTCGCAAAGTCTTAGTTATCCAGCTTGTAGTCCATTTGACATGGGCTACATTGACCAACATAGTGCTATTTTAAAATCAGAGTGCCATACCAAATTAACTGCAATGATTCAATGAATAAGTATATTGCTCAGGGCAATTCGTTTTTTCAAGACAAATCTGTGATGTCTTCAGAAAAAATATGAGGTTTATTTGAAAAAAAGTATTTTCTATGAAATAATGATGTTGGATATTAATAATGCTGCTACTCTTCAATTCTATATTATATGGAAATTTATATTGTGTCCTATGTGGAAGTTTCCATAATTTTCTTTGCAATAAATATCATTTCCATTGTGCTTGGTATGCTTAAAGAAATCCTTGTTATTGTCTTTAAGATGATGGTCATGTTCTTTAATTGATTAAAGTTTGATTATTCTTCCTCAAACCACGAGAACTAGAGGTCACTCATTGAAATTAAAAAGCAGCAGTTTTAAGACAAAGTAGTATTTCTTCACAAAATACACAGTCAATCTATGGAACTCCTTGCCAGAGGATGGATGTGAAGACCAAAACTGTATCAGAATTCCAAAAAGAGCTACATAAATTCAGGGAAGATGCATCCTTCAAAGGCTATTAGCCAGAATAGGCAGGGATCGTGTCCCTTTGCACTTGATTGTAAGAACGTGGGAATGGGTGATAGGAATGGATAATTTCAAGATTACCTCTTATGTTCATTCTCTCTCAAGCACCTGGCATTGGCTACTTGATAGGCCATAGGTCTGACATTGGAACATCAAATTAATCACTTGCATACATTGGGGATATTTCACATAAAGCATGTCATGTAAGGTATCCTAACACAGATTATGAATTTCTGAAGCTCACTGTCTTATCTAAATAGGTGTGTCATTAGTGTGTATGGCATGAGAGAAGTGTTGTGTGTTTGTCCTTAAACTATGCTGGGAGTGGAGGAACTGCCCTGATACTAGCACCTCTGTGACAACACCAAAGGAGGCAACCAATATCCAGGTAAGTGTCCAATAACCAACAACAAGTATTATCCGGCAGGGCAGTAATAATGCCACGATTCGCTTGCCCACGGCAATACCCGGGGAATTGCTTGGCCTCGCCTAGTGAGCAAGCAAAGCCTACCAGACATGCCGGGATGTGTGCTCCCCCAGGGCATGGGCTGAGGCTGTAACATAAAAGACGTAGGCCAGGGGTGGGGAACGTCAGGCTCAGAGGCGGCCCCCAGCTTGCCTGGAGCCATCCCCCAAAGCATAGAGATCCCTCCGTGCTAGCACTCCAACCTCCATGCTACCCACCTACAGGGCTGGAGCACACAAAATCCTCTAGCCTGGCTCTGCTGTGTGAAAGGAATGTGAGGAGGACCCTTTTCCTTCTCAGTGAGCGGTTGCTCCCTTTGCTTCTTTCTAGTGTGTGGCCCCCGATGGTGTTTTCTGTGGTTCATTGGCCCTCGAGGCAAAAAAAGTGTCTCCAGCCCTGACACAGACCGTCCGACTTTCTTCTTCCTCCACCCCATGCAAGCTGGCAGCAATGAAAATGCTGACGCTCAGGAGACTGGTCCCTTTATTAACCTGTATTGGCCGGAGGCTGAGAGAAAACTGCTTAGTCCCAATATTGCCTAGTTTCTTAAGGGGAATCACAGGGTACGAGGAGTAACGGTAATTCAAATTAGGATCTTTAATTCAAACTACCTACTCCGTGCCGTGTGTATCCGCGGGCATGGAGTTCAGACTAAGGGGGATTTAAAAATGGCGGCACCCAGGAACGTGCAAATGAAGCCAGGGATTTAAATATCCTGGACTTCATTTGCAACTCCGATTGCCCTAATTACCCTACCTAGCTCGAACTAACGAGCTAGTGTAGATGTACCCATACAGA